GACTCTTAACCAAATCATCGCCATCCGCTCCTCTTGATCACCGCCACTTCTCACGAACCTTGCACGTGCCCCGGGTGTGATGACAAGGGGGGGTGGGGGGCGACACTCAAACGGGACAACAAAAGTGAGTTGGGTGAAGGAGGGAGGGAGGGAGGAAAGGAAAGGAGAGAAAGTGTGTGTGACGTGTGTGTGTGATCATGCACATGGTTGGAGGAGTTAGATTCCAGCACGGATGACTGGCTGTCATGCAAGCGTGTTTTGACAGTTGCATAACATACAGTTTTGCACTTTAGGGACATTAAAATTTTAAATGCTCTGTTTTAATCCATGGCTCACACACAAGACGTCACGCAGAAAGGCACCAATTGTGCCTTTCAATTATTTGTTCACTCTCGCTGCTGTGAAGAGCTGAGCAATACGAAGAGGCCAGAGTAAGGAATGGGGGGTGGGGGGTGGAAGCATGACTAGATTGTAACCGAGCATGCCATCCCTTTGCCAATGCCGTCACTGCTTTTCATTTTGATAATTGACCAGCCACGCCAGAAATGTCCATCAGCTAATCCTCTTAGTTTTCATAATGCTGACTCTGTCACAGAAGTCCCCTGTTTTAATGTAACAAGCGGCTAAACCCGGTGAGCAGACTGCAGAAAGCCCCCCCCCCCTCCTCCCCCACCCTCGGGGGCTCACTCTGCCCCCTAGAGACCCCTTTTTGGAACGACACAACCTGTCAGAACAATCACAGATCAATAGTGTAGCTCCGTACTGACTCGCCCTTGGCGGCAAAACTGGTCTTGAATACAACTGAAAAATTGTAGTCATCTCATCGGAGGATCTGCAGAGTGGGTAGCTCTTTCCTTTTGTGTGGAGGATAGATGGAATATAATCCCTTTTCTCCTCACTAAGCAGACCACTTTATGCCGCTGACATAATCATGTGAAAGTGGATGCTTTTTTTTTTTTTCTTATGTCGTCACAAAACATTCAAACCTAGCGTAAGGCACATGAAATCCCGCGCTAAATAATAGGAAAGCATCTTGTAAATCTGCCCAAATGTTAATCGTGTGGAAAGTTTTCATGTTTGGTTATTCCTCTTTTCTGCCTCAGCACCCTAATCCCCCTCAAAATCTGATATGGTTTAGCCGCACAATGTGATATAATCGTTTTTATCTCAAACGATGAAATTGTAGTTTCGAGATGTCCCATTCGTTGTTAGCGCGCAAAAATAGAAGAATCTTTTCACCAAATTACCAATCGCAAATCTTTTCTTTTTTTTTTTTTGGACAGCTTGTAATCATGAGAATTGAGGATGACTTTACCCTACCTGATTTTGAGTGAGAGGCAGGACTGGTTGCCAGTCAGTGGCTTTTTTTTTTTTTTTTTTTAAGCGCCAAATCATGTGAAACTGTTTTACTTACATTCTTCTCCCTCTCGGAGCAAAACAAACCTGAGCAGTTCCTTGTTCCAAAACTCGAAGCATGTTGCTGACGTCAGGTGGGGGAATCCAGTCGAGACAAATTCAACTTGGGACTTGCTTGGCTAAAACTTGTGAAACCTTTACTTTGACTTGTTATTCGTGACTTGATCTACATGATTCCAAGTGTTTGCCTGTTTACATTTAGCTCCAACGTCATCATAAAATCCACAAAGACAAGTAAATTAGGTGCACACACTCTTACACTCACATGCACACACATACATACACTTCCAGACGGTCAACAGAACACAACCTGTCCGGCGCACCCCCCCATCTCTTTGCTCTCCGCACATCACACGGACCCGAGCGTATGTGATGTGACACGACTGACACAACCTTGAGAGATGCGAGGAGACCCTGCCGATGATTAATTCAAAGCCGGAGAGCAGAACGAAGATTAGCTGGCTGTGGCTGTGGGTGTGGGTGTGTTTACGCCTGCAGACCACTATTGCATGACACAAGGCCATGTTGGAGGGCTGAATCATTGCCGCTGAATGATGTCCGTGTGAGAATGACAGGAGCCCAAATAGAAGAACGTTTAATCCATACCGGTTAGTCAGCGTTTGTCTGCATGCGTGCTCTGGTCCGATGGCACCACCAATCGTCATTTTAAAACCTTCTCCACTGTTAACGTGACCTTTGACCTATACAAGTCAATGATAAAATCAATAACAGACCCGAGATTCATCCTCGGAATGTTCATCGAGAAACATAATACTTGCTGTCTTATTTACTCTAGAAACAACGACAGCAGCCCAGAAGACAACTCGAGAATAGTCAGATGGGTCTGTTCTCTGCCCTGTTTACCCGTAACACCTGTGCGGGCATACAAATAAAGCGACAAGACAGCCACAGATTGTTCAACACTCACAATGAATATTTAATTTTTTTTTTTTTGTTGCCCTGCCGTTAACTGAGAAGTCTTTCCAAGGAGCAAAAATGCGAAGCTCTCCGGAGGATGCCAAGCATGTACTGTTCTTCCAGCACCAGCCGTTGGCCAGAGAGGGCCTCGATTAAAAAGTAGACAGGTTGTGCGGGGGGAACAAAGAGATCGTCGTGCCTCCATCTGTCTGCTCGATTCATTAGAAAAGCATCAAATGCAATGCCAGCGCTGCATCACGGAAGGTGTTAAATTTGCTTTTTTTGGGCCACGTGTCATTTGGTCAGCTATGCATATCGGGCACACGCCCTAGCAGAATCAGCTTATTTATGGGATAGCGCAGCATAACATGGCTCTCATGCAACACGGTTAAAGGACGTATTATATTTCCGCTGTCCCTTTTGTCTGTTAATCCAAACACAACGCAAAGACACTCTGAAGTCACGTCAAGGACGGAATGTATCGCTGTCATGTACAGTTGCTGCTTTCATTACTGTTAAAGGGTCATTGACGCATTATATGTTTGTGCATTGTGCGTATTATATAATAGATCGCTACTTGGGCAAGTTAGTAGCGCAACAGAATGACAAGACTAGTGGCTGGAGATCAGTTCAGTGAAGACCCCTTGGCTAAAGTCAGCTGGGATAAGCTCCGGCTCATCCGCAACCCTACGTGAGGAACCCGTAGTGGAACAGAAAATTGATGGATGGATTTAGGCTGCAAAAAAAAACAAGTATAAAACAATTTTGTACTGTATGAAAAAAGGTTCTTCGATGTTCCCGCAATTAGTCCTTTAAATACGTTTCACTGAATGGCCATACTTGTTCCATGGCTCTGTAATACTCTCCCTTAAAGTCGGACTTTTGATCACCGCATCGAAACGCTGACTCATTCCCACGATCACGAAGATAGAATCTGAAATGAGCAACTACGACTCTCGTGGCAATCATGCGCGACTCGCTGTTAACACCCTTGACATCAAGCCATTCGTTGACGTGCAGCGCAAAGATGTGACTCATGCCTGCCATTTAAACCAAACAACACATTTACACCAACTTACTACTCCCATTTTTCGACATCATCCCACATTGAAACACCCCCACCAGACCAAAGCAGGAAACCGGCGTCCATTCGCGAGGAGGAGGTCCAAAAGAGGCCCCGTAAGTGTGTGTGTGTATGTTTGACCAAAGCGGCGAGTGTAAAGTCGTGGCTAAATCTCTGTAAGCAGGCCCTGGCATTGGTCCCCAATTGCCTGCCTGCTGTGTGGGCAAGGGCCCGGAAGGGACGTAATCCCCTGGCATGGATGGACTCACACATGTTGATGGGCATTTGTGTTTATACAGTATGTGCATGCAGAGGTTGAAGGATAAAGCCAAGAGTTGCTGAGACATCCAAAAAAAAAAGGAAAAAAAAAAAAGCCCTGATGTGAAGCCATGCTTAATAGCAGCCTTCACATGATGTCTTGCATGCTGTTTGGAGATGGTGTGCTGTGTTTTTTTTTTTTGGGGGGGTGGGGGAGATCTGCCCGATACCATCCTGACAGGGCCGATCTTGAGCTTATGTAACCTTTTCGTCTGCAGGAGATGGCATTGCACAGCATTTTTTACCTTTCCTGCTGCTCGGTTTTTAAGTGGGCAGCCGTGGGGGGTGGCAGAGTTGACATGTCGGTTCAGCCTTGACAGGCTCTGAGTGAAGGACAAGGCAGCCCCCCCCCCCCTCTCATCTTGGCACTTAAGGTGACCTCTGTCTACACCAGCAACTTCATCATTTTTTTTTTTGCAAGGAAGTATAGGAAGTAGACATATAAAAATAAAAAACAATTTGTTTACCAAAGCTATCTCATTTATTTATTTTCTTTACAGTTTCTTTTGAATTATTGCAACGTGTCCTTGGGTGTAGGTTGGAAGGCGCTTATAAATTGCTCGTCCATACATTGAGGAGGGGGTGGGGGGCGTAATACTTTCCTTGCCACGGGCACTGGCAAGTCGTGCTACGCCACTGGAGGAAGAAATTACCGTCTGGTGGTTGGCCGAGGATGTCTGACCTCACTTATTGAGCCCGATATCAAAAAATACAGATGGCAGGTAACTTGAAGGCCATTTATTAGTTATTGGTAGATGAACTCAGGACCTGGGAATTATTGGCTTTTGGTTTCATAAGACACTATTGAACATTCTGTTACTCGCATGCAGCGGCGACTGTGTATTTGGGGCAGGTCGGTGAGAGAGTAGATTCAGAATTTAATGCTGTGTGTGTTTCTTTTCAATATGAGTCCATCACGAAGACCCGCACAAGTGACTCGGTATGACACATAAAAGGCAAGGTGCTGGCAATGTCGTTTTTTTTTTTTTTTTGTCCTCTCAACATATCAACCACTGATTGGCCTTTGGTTTCATAACACAGGATTGGATGATTTGCTGCCTGCACAAATGGCATGACGGCGAGCTCCAAATCCTTGCTTTGATCTCTAAAAACGTGACAGCTGATTGACGAATTGGTGTCAATCGTGGACAATGGAGGAGCCCACTGTCTCATTGAGATTGGGGGTGGGGGGAGGGGGGGGGGCGAGTGGATGAAGGTCGGCCTGGTAGGAGGAGGGCCGAATCCATGTGGAGGGAGGGAGGGAGGGAGGGAGGAGTTAGACTCTGCTGCACGAGCACGACTGATGCCTGAATGTGACAATTTACCTCCACGACCACGCACGCGCGCACGCACGCACGCTCACTCACGCACAGAGCATCAGGCGCAGGTGCGTGGACTCGCTCCCCACGCAGCTGAGCGAACCTCCGTTGATGACGGGACGTTGGAGTCTTTGGAGGGAAAAAAAAAACGCCAAACTACAGCGAGGAGGAGAAAGGACAGCCTCTTTTTTTTTTTAATGTTGTTGTTTTTTTGGGTTGAACCTTCCCCCTCGACACTCCACTCCGCTCCTCTCCACGGGACAAAATGCACGCCGGTGTGGGAGCCTGCTCGCTTTTCTTATCCCCTCGCCAAATGAAATGGTCGTCCTACTGAAATGAGGACCTCATCTCAGCTGGGTTCATTGTGAAAAAAAAAAAAAAAAGGGGCGCTTTCTTCGACTTATTTCAAGGACGGCGACCGAGGAAAATAAACTAATTAGGGAAATAAAAGTGGCCGGAGGACGAAGGAGACATGGAGCGGGACGACACCGTGAAGGCGCCGAAGAAGAAGAAGAGCATCATGGCGAAGATGTTTAAAGTTCGCAAAAGGAGGGAGATGCTGTTTGTACAGGTGTGCTTCATCTGCAGTGCCCTCTTAGTGGCGTGGACCATGTCGGCGCTGTTGACCAAAGCAGGTGAGTGCTTGGACGACACAAACGCACACATGGACGCACGATATCTGCATTATAATCACGCACCGCAACAAATGCGATCTGGCGGCGCGATACGTTGAATGCAACGCCGCTGCATTCCTCTGCAGATTCTTGATGCCGCCTGTCCTAAAACCACCCAACTTAGAATGCGTTCGTGTTTATTGAACTACGCCGAGGTTGCCTTTTACGATGTTTCTTCGTATTGCCGCAGTGTGCGCCCCGTGGCAGCTTGCACATTTTTTTTTTTTTAATTTGGAGAGGAGGCACAGGCGCGTAATCACGGCGCACGCACGCTTCCTGTTTTACATGCACACACACGACGGGACCGGGAATCTGTTTGATTTGTCGGATTTTTTTTTTTTTTTTTTTTTTTTTTTGCAGCACGATCCACTGTTACCGCGCACCGTGGTCAGCACCTCCCCCATCATACACGCACACGTATGGATGGTGATTCCCCCCCCTCAGTGTAATTGAGATGGGCAGTCATGTGTGGTGCGTGTGATGTCCCTCACTCTCTACACATGACCCACCCCCCTTTCATGTCAAAAGTCTTCCCTTTAGGCTTGTGCAAACACTGACATGCAGAGCATCCCAAACGCAGCATCACAGCCGTTATGTAATCCACGCACCAACCTTGGGAATATTGGTTGAGCATCCCGCTAAAACAGCAGGGATCCGAGGTGAACTAGTGGGCAATGCGCGTATACAAGGGGGGTGTCAGTGTTTCATCAGTGCTCTCATTGCAAGATGTGACCTGGATTTGGAGAAAAGAAGTGGTGGGGGGACAATGTCATAAATATCATTTGAGAGATTTTGCATACAGTCAACCCGCACTTATTCCTGAGGTCACAAATTTTTCTGTGCAAATAAAAAAACAGATTGCTGAAAAAAGCATTTGATCCGCGGCTCTCCAAAAATAGCCCCAGAATTATCTAATTTTCGTGTTACTATTGATAAAGCACATAAGTGAAGATATTTATAGAAAACAAAAATGACAGGACGGTGGCATGGAGGTGGCAGCTTTGTAGCCAGAAAAAAGAGCAATTGTTTCTGTCATCTATTTGAATAATTTTTTTTAGATTGAGTTGCACTATTTTAGGTTAAGCAGTTTGCAGCAACATCAATGTGGCCACCATTTTTGTGGAATTTTTTAGCAGAAACTTGTCAGCCAATCAGAGATCTTCCTTGCCCAACCGCCTTGTCTCAAGATACATTGTTGTGTGAATTATATTCTCGTGCATCGGGAGTTGCTTTTTACATAATCAAAAACCCCTCTATGTCTCCACGAGGTTATCATTTTGACATAAAATGGGTTTCCGTCTTCCTTGAATGTCGTTTTAGACAAACGTATGTATATGACTTTTTCCCCCCCTATTTTCTAAGACCCTGCTCCCACAAATGAGACACCCCACTGTCGTCTGACAGCGACCCCATCTCACATGTATCAAATTGTTGTCAGTGTTTCACTAATGTAGTCCATACACGCGCTCAGTGCCTCTGCTCTCATTAAGCTCTTTTTTTTGACCGTGTCGTGGGATCTGTCCATCTGCACCCACTTAGCCTCCGTTGGGGGGGGCTACAGATAGCATCAGAAAACTCTCCTCACTGTAGGGCAGATCTCCAGCGAAATCCACAGTTTCATTAATTACATTAAAACAAGAGGCTTAAATGATTACTCTGCAATGATCTCATACATGCGAGTGCAAAGCTCTCATTTCCAAAGGCAGCATTTTATATACGCACGCGCGTGCGTGTAAAACACCTGACCTACGCAGTCGTAGCCATGGCGGGACTGTTGTAAAGAAGCCTCGGGAATTTTTCATCTGCAGTTTGACAGCCATGTGGGCCTATGGGAGAACAGCAGAAATCCCCTTTGAACCCACGAGGCCTGCCATAATCAGATCCATTTAATTGAATAGATCTTTCTGAGGAAGGGGCGAAGGCTATGAGGGGGGGTGTCGGCAAACAAGAATGTCTGAAGAAAAACCTGTTTGCACTCGCCTGATTTATAGTGGCGTGTTGATTGTTCAGAATAATCCAGATGGATGAGATTTGATGCTCCTCTCCTGGGTCATACACCGCCATAAAAAAGGCAGAGGCGTGACATGCCGCCTTGCATGCTGATCCTGAAGCGGATGTGGGTGTGAGAGAGATGTGATGGACAGAGCTTTTCTTTTTTTGCTCTTGTTGTCCGACGACTGAAGGCGAACGTGTTCGCAGCCTAGCAAGGTTGATGGGCGCATGTTTGGCCTTGGTCCCCCACCCCCCCCTGCATCCCCCCGGTAGGTTGATTGAACCGAGCTTGAGGATGTCCTCGCCAACGTACCGGCCTGCTGAAATCCTCAGGCTTGTGTTTAGCAAATGGAAGGAAGTGGCACCGCTACGCTAAGAATATGAGCTTTAAGAGATTCAGTGTATCAAACATTTCACAAACATAAAAAAAAAAAAAAAATGGCATTGGTTTTTGAGCAATGTTTTTACGGGCAGCGGCGGAAGACATAAACAGCGAATGGTGGTCACTGCTGTGACTTTCAGTTGATGTCTTTAGTCAACGGGTGTATTGGCTGGCAAGTACATTGGTCATAAAGCAACTTAATTCATTCAAGGTGGTCCGACATACTCCAAATGACTGGGGTTAGTCTTGATGGTCACATCGAAATATTGGTTAGTCAGCAACTTGGTATGTTAAACCATACTGTGCTTATGAATATTCCGGCCAAATATGGCGGCGATGCATGAAATCAATTCAGAAATGGGGAAAAAAGAAAACAATTCAGAACCGTCACATGCTGAAAATAATTTGCTGCGCGCGTTAACATCAAAGAGGTGGAAGCATCGTCCCTCTGTTGGGAAATTAGCCTTTGCATCAGGCGGGCAAAAGTGGCAAACGCGTTTCACGAGGTATGCTTTGCCCGCTTTGCCAAAATTTCCATCGAATCGGTTTCTTCAACTCTTTCAAGTCCAGATGTCACCCATATCTTTATTTGTTCATGCCTTGCTTCCTCAGTTGTGGCTAGAGGGCAGCTTGGCCCGCTGAGGCATCACGGTGTCCTTCACATGGTGAAAGCGCCGATTATAACCGTGTCATGTGAGTGGACTTTTGCAAGCGCAATCTGCGTGACCTCACAAGCCAGAAGTCGGACTGACTGGTTGGCTGTATTGCACGCTCTTGCGCAGCAATAATTAGGCCCTTACGTCACCCAAATCGACTCATCATTTTGCGCACAGCAAACAGTTTTCTCATCTTGCCAGAGGCCTCATGTCATTTGTGTGGTACAAATGATGGAGAAAAGAAAAAAAAAAAGGTGTCATTTGTGTGGTACAAATGATGGAGAAAAAAAAAAAAAGGCAAGTTGAAAACACATCCAGGCGGGCTGGTACGATTTTACGTAAGATATTTAGGGCTGCAGTGCTTGTCCTCGTTTACAGAGGCTTAAGAGCAGAAAAGTGTGCGGCAGCTTCGTTTTTGATGCACTCTTGTGGGAGAAATTTAAAAAAAAAAAAAAAGTTGGACATCCACATAGGACACATTTCGGGGATTAAGAATGACAACCATCCATCTCGATTTTTGAGAGTCCCTCAAAACAGAAACCGTTTGCATGTTCACTCTTACCTCACGCCTACTAGTGATACGCCTGAGTGCAAAAGGGGTTTTCAAACTATCTCATAAGCAGCGCTAAATCGGAATCTTTTTGTTTGCTCTGCAGGCCACGGCATGATAATGGAGGACCGTCCCGATCCGGAGCACTGGGGGAGGCGGCTCATGGCGTCGGTGGCCGAAAATGAAACGGAGCCCAAGAACTGTTCGGCGCCAGGTATGCCGGCCAACACCGTTTTAGTTTTGACATTCGTGCTGCTTTGAGGCTGAGCAAGCACAAGACTCTTCATAAGAAAACTGAATGGTGCTACCTGATCACTGTCAGCGATTATTTATGAGAGCCAAATAGGCCGTAATGTGTTTTTATAGCTTGCTCTGTTGCCTCTAAATTGTTCGGAAGCATCGAGCGCGCCCAAATTGAGATGAGGAATTGCTGTACATGTAGATGAGATCTTTCATGGCAACAAAACACATTTTGGAATTGTTGCTCTGTCAAAATCCTTGACATTTTCAAACATGGCCCATACCATGCTGAAATTATTTTTTGTTTTTCCATTCACCATGACTTTGTTGGCGAAAATGTGGGATTTGATTCACTTTTGTTGCGACTTCGCCTTGATCTGGAGCGACGCCATGGGCACTCAAAGGCTACCCAGTCTCGTGTTGATTGAACCACAACAGGATGCCTTCAGATTTATCCGTGGTTATAAATACTTATTCCATTGGACTATCTGCAACTACATCTGTTTTGTGTTCTCGGCGCGAGTCGCAAAGTGGTACGACTGTTTCGTGTGCGGCAGCGAATGTTTCTATTTCGGAAGACGTCACAGTGATTCATTGCGGCCCGCGGGCGATTCTTCCGGACGTAATCATCCAAAGAGTGTTTTCAAGCAACAGCAAGTAATTATTTAACCAAATGGGGTGCGTGTCAATTTGAGGATTTGTTTTGTTTGTCTATCATACAGTATGGAAGAACAGCAGGGCGCAGGCAATTTGGATGTCATTTCAAGTGTCACAAGCTGCCCGACGGGGCCCCAACGGGCTATTACCTCATTTCTGCTCCCGCTCTGGAATTATTCAAATCAGCTGCGTCGTCGTACCCAACTGTGAAACACAACCACCAAGCACGTTTTTTTTTTTTTTTACAACACTCATAAACGGATTCAGCATGTGACTTTTTCTTTGTTGCGGCATAAAAGTCGCGGGCAACTGATTGAATGACTGGCATCCTGGAAATTTTCCTCAACAGAAGCCTAATCCTTAAAGATTACCATCATCCAGCCCCCGCCCCCCTTTTTTTTTACAAAAAGTCCCCTCGTGCACCAGACTGAACGTCTCATTCCGCATCACCTCATTCACTTCAATCTTTAGAACACCCCCCCGCTCCTTGCACCGCTCTGTTTTGTCAGCGTGAGTCAGTCATATGACTCGCATCATCTCAGAAAGAATGCCGCCATGGACACATGTGTCGCTTTGTTGCAAAACCGATTGGTCTGTTCTGACCGGTTGCGGAGCACATGACTCACTCGGATTGTTCCTGCAATTTATCATTCCAAGAGTTCTCGCAAGTCATGTCTCGTCACGTCACTCGTGGCCCATTTCTCCAGCAGCCTTGTTAGCGCTTTTGGTGCTAAGTGTTCTGATTACTGATTCATTTATTGTTTGTTTGTTAAAAAAAATAAAAAAAAAACGCATGGGAAGAGAACCTTCAAAAACAAGTGTTCTGATTACTGATTCATTTATTGCTTGTTTGTTAAAAAAAAAACGCATGGGAAGAGAACCTTCAAAAAAAAAAAAAAGAAAGCTTTTTTTAATCATCGCAATAAAAATGGAGAGAAATAAATTGCAATGACATCAGCCCTACTTGTGTATCTTTAAAAAGCGTACCGACCTGCAAAAGCAGCAATGTACCAACTGCTTGTCCTGCGCTTAGAGTCGAAGAACTGTTTAGAATCTCTTTTGTGCGTTTTACTGCGGGAAGCATCCACAGCAGCCAAACAAGTATGACTTCAATGCAATACCGTGAAACATGTCATCAACTTGTGTTGATTCCACAGTGGACCGAGCGCTGACTAAGTGGGCTTCTCCCTTGAGAGGGACGCGCTGGGTTTAAATGGATGGAAGTTGATAAGGATGAGAAGGATCGCTGGAAGTGTGTGTGTGTGTGTGTGTGTGTGGGGGGGGTGTTTATATGCTGAGCGGGCAGCCCTACTGAGGCTCCATTTCACCGCACTGCATAGATCACACTTGACTTTCCTTATCATTATTGATAGAAGCCTCGCAAGGTGCTGCCGCCCATTTAATGTTGGTCTTAAGTGCATTTTTATGGATGTTCTCGCTTGAATGCGACGCCGTTCTCGCAGGCAGGATGAGGCTTGACTCAGTCCAGTCAATATGCCGGGATGCGTGATCGCTGGATGTGCTGCATTTTCTCTGCGGTACTGTGTTGAAAATGGCGTCGTTTGGACATGAGGAATTTATGTATTTTTTTTGGCGGGGGGGGGGGTCCGAAAACATTTGAGACAATGTGGAGTGTATTGCTCAGGTGCAACCAGCAGAGGCGCTGTTTTGGCTCAAAAGACCAACATGGCCTCAGCTCGGCGCGGTTACAAATCCTTTGTAACTTTGTTCTGTTCAATACTGTACTTACCTGGAAACAGGAGTTCAGAACTTTGAGCCCCCCCCCAGCCCATATTTGAAAACATGTCATTTCACAGCAGTGAACCTTGCGGCCCAACGGTTTCAGCCCCGTTCAGCGATCGTACGCAAACGCCACCTAACAGGAGTTCATGCTTAACTGTGTGCATGTTCGTGTGGAATGGCGTGTCTCTGAGTGCTTAAATGAACATGTGAGCAGCGCTCCACATGTGACGCGAGCATGTGGATGTATTGACCCGCCAAGGGAAGAGGATAATGGTGTGTATGCGTGCGTGCTTTCGTAGTTCTCCATACAAGACTGCGTACATGGCGTTTTGATACACACGAGCAGCAGCAATTATCTAATTGGCCAATCGTGACCCAGAAGAATTCTTCAGCTCTTATCGTCTCTCGAGTATAACGCTGTACGGTGCTGCGGCATTCTGGTTTGATTCCCCCGTGTGACAGAAAGTTAATGTCCGAGACATTGCACGTGGTATGGAGTTGAGTTGTGTACGCAAGACTTGACTGCAGCGTAGAGAAGACTTCATGGGAGGCTGAGCTCGCTATTATGCAACACATTCAGTGTCTGCTATCTTACACGATTTTGAACAAAGGAATCCCAGTGGCTGGTTTGCTTTGTTTTTTTTAAGTCGGCATCATCGCACTGAGAGCCGTTTGTCGTATTATGACACTCGGCTGAAGTGAAGTCTTAATCTGATACGATCTGATCTGCGTTTACAATAATAAACTTTTTTTTTTTTTTTTTTTTGACTTCATCCCTGGCAGGGTCAATAGAAACGAAGACCACTCTTGCATTGGACCCATTAAATTGTGCTAAATGGCCAATGAGGGATGATGGGATATGTTATGAAGGGAAAAGGTTTGACATTTTGGAAACTCTGATGACATTTTACCGCATGCATTCCCATTTAGCTTAATTTATATGACTAAATGAAAACAATTATTCTAATCTTAACCAACCTAGCCCGGAGAGGGTGGGGGGAGGGACATTTCAAAGTACTTACATGTGAGGACCAACGTCCTTCGAATCGCTGTGCTGCGGAGTCGTTTCATAAAATCTTCAAACTTCTTGTGAGCTGTCTGTGTGGTCTTATAATGAGCTGATAAAAGAAGCCGATGGGGGGGCTTGGGGGCGGATTGTGCTGAACACACACACACGCGCACACAAAATGAGTTATTTCTTGCATAAGCAGCCCAGAAAGATGTCCGAACACAGAACGTGAGGTCTATTTTTAGATTTGTGGCTTAGCTTCTCCTCAAGAGGACTTTTATTTATATTTTTTTGGCCTTCTATTCTCATGCTGCTCTTTCATTTCTGATCTTCCTCCTTTATTGCCCTTAACTGAATCTAATCATTCAAAAGGAATGCAAGGTGCACTGAAAAAAACGAATTGACTCCATTTTATTTATTCAAGTGGCTGCAGTGTTGTACAAAGGGAGGAAAACAGTTTGATATGGGTGATTTTTGTCGGGGTGGAGAGTCCAACTGTCTTGCCAGACTTTGAAATATGAATTTATATAGTCCCAAGGACTTATTTTCCTTCGCAAAGTGACTTTGCCTGTCCATATGCTAATGTTGTCGCCGGCCTATTTAAAGGCGTCACTTATGTCGTCCCCGTCCCCTCGTGTTGGTCTGTCCTTGAGCGGTGAAGAACGTCGGCGTGTTTGTGTCCGAGCGAGAGGCGCACGCTTGTCCGCTCAGGTGTCACCGAGGACTGGGACGTGACCACTGCTGACGTGCAAACACCTTGGCGGTCGCACGCTGTCAACGGCTACTCGGGTTGTGCTATTTGTGCTGTTGAATGATCGAATTGGCCACTTGCTGCTTGTGAAAATTCACAAAGTCCTTGTTTGCAGGAAAATAATGGGTTTGAAGTGTTTGACTCTATGTTGATAAACGCGCAGTCAGAAATTGTTTTTCATTTGTTTGATAGCAAGTGAAGAAAGAGGGGCTGCAGAATAGATGTTATATGATCATGCTACATTTGCCGCAGCGTTGCAAATGCTTGTCGGCTTCATTCATGTGTGCACACACATCACTGAGTATAAAATATATATTTCCATATCCATGCACGCTCATACTCGCAACAGTGAGGTTAGGACAGATGCAGCAGAGTGAAGTCTCAGGTGAGCCCTGTTCCACTTCCTGAGTCCATATGTGACCAGGTCCCAAAACGTGCCTTTTATTTCATTTTACGCTGTCACCACACCGCAACGTATCCATCCTGACCCGACGGTAAACATTGAAGTAATTTGCCTCAAAGAAGATCGCTGTTGCTTATTGTCGCCTCAAGTGAAGTAGCTGCAGGGGCATTGCTCTATGCATGTATTTGCGAACTTTTGAGGTTCTGTTTGGGGAAATGAGTGCCCCTCCTTTTCAAAATGGCTTGATATGAGATCGTCAAGGCGTTTTTTTTTTTTTCATGATTGTATTTACCAGTTAGGTTGTGAAGAACATTGACCCTGTTGCATAATATATCCAGGCCTTGAAGGGCCGTCATCGTGATCCAGGGTGGTGAGGTCATGAAGGTCTGCTGACCCGTCACAATGTCACACAAGTGGTCTGGGGTGCAGCGGGGGAAGGGAGGAAGAGGAGCCGGGCGATGATGGCGGTGGACACGTGCCTTACTGTCATGCCGCCGATGTCGTGCGTTGACTGTGACATTTCCTCTCTCCCCAGCAATACACGAGTTCCCCGATGACCTTTTCACCAACAACGAGCGAAAGAGCGGCGCGATCCTCCTGCACATTGCAGCGGTGAGACAAACAATCTTTCGAAGTTTCGTTTTGCACCTGCACCCATCACAGCAAAAACAGCAACTTGATAAGCCCATGAGAAATTTTTTAAAGCTGTTGTAGGTTTTACTTACAAATGACGTCTGTACAACACAGTGGTCAATGTTAAAGTGCTTTGTTTTTTCTTTTATGGGCGGGCTGGGGCAGTCAAGCAAAAGTGTTGTAATCATTTTGGCAAATTAGAACTTGCAGCGCTAAAATCAAATCTACTCATGCAGGCCATAAATTGCACACACGGCTAATGTGCAGCGTGCAAGCGACGGCTATCAAATATTAATTGTATATCCCGGAGTGTTGGAAATGAAGTCCTCCTAAATATTCATTAAGTATTTAAAGTAATTCTCAGCCCGCTCATGGTGACTTCCATGTTGGTTTGAGTCATGATTGTGCTGAGACAAAAATAAAGATAAGTCATTTTAGTGAATGACTTCATTTATTACTCCTGTCATGTGCCACATTTGGATTGTGAACACAAGAACATCACTTAAAAAAAAATAATACTTTGCCTTAAGGTTTGAGCCACAGGACTTGTTCACTAGTGCACAAGTAACTGTATTCTCGTTTTTTTCCCCACCAACGTAGTGTTTTGACCAAACATTCACTTGTCTTTTGTCATCTAGTGCAAGACCATTGAATTGCTCTGCCTTTTACATACATCGCTCACAGAGCTAGATGATCAAAGACATAGTAGTTGTTGGAAATAAATATTTTGGGGTCCAAATAAGTGCACAGTGGACCACACAACAATAATGGGGGAATTATTGGTTTCTTACAAAATAGCACGACTGTGTTGGAATCATGTCTTTTGACCTTCTTTGTTCTTAATTCGAATAAAAAAGCGTTTTAAGTTGCAAGTGCGAGTGTAGTATAATACCGCTACCTCACTCTCAAAATATGGTTAAGCACTTAACTACGGAAGCCGAGGAGTAATGTCACCTCATCGCAGTGAAAACACAGACCGGCTCTGTTAAAAAAATAAAGGCAAACCTAAGCGCCAGGTTAGCTTTAAAACTACAAATCCCTAAACCTGAATACGACTGTTCATTATCAAAAGATGACTTTCAAGACCGAGATACGGCCGGCCTTGCTTTTTTCCCCCCACTTGCCTCCCCTGAAAATATGTTTCCCTTGACGTAGGCTGTCAGCTCTGCTGTGCCTGCGCTGCCCCCTGTGGATAGCATAGAGCACAGCAGCACAAACCATGCTCCTCTCTCACCTGATCTATAATTTATCAATTCAACCTCAGCTACCGAAATAGGCCGCCTGACACCCCCCCCCCTCCATCCCACCCCACGAGCCCCCACGGGAGCGTGAGCACGAAACCCTCATGCTTTTATTCTCCCATGATGACATCTAAACACGTTTATGGTAAATTGTTGGCTACAGACTTTGAGTAAATAAGATCATTTAATTGACAATTTGCTCTGCGCCTATTTTCAACAAAGTGGCATCGCTAGACAAATATCATTATGCGTGGACATGCATTTATGAGGGTCATTTTCAGTCTTTGTCTTGATAAGCTCACTAATGATTCATGTGTTAACCCAGTTTGCAGGGTATTTTCATAGCGGGCTATTTGGGTGCTTGTAGGACTGCAAAAACTGTATGAAGGAAATATGATCATCTGCAGCAAAATCTCTTGGACTGACATTTTCTCACTGTGGGTTTTATTAATTTTTGTAAAAAAAAAACATCTTGTGACCAACATCCATGTACTGTTGATGCCAAGAAAAATACTATAAAATGAAGAGAATGAGTGAATAAATTATTAAACTTCTCGGTTGGTGCTTCTGACAGTGTAAATGCTTCATTTGCACTATGCACGATAGTGCCATTTGCCTCAAACATGGCAACATTTATTTTTTTTTCATGAATTGAAATCCTATTTAAATCAAATGTCCTCGATTTGAATTCCACTGCCTGTGACCGCAGGCCCTCTACATGTTCCTGGCACTCGCCATCACGTGTGACGAGTATTTTGTGACATCACTGGAGAAGATATGTGAGGTACTTTGGGGGCATTTAGGGCTTTATTTATATTAAGGCTGCCATTTTTAATTTTTTTTAATCGCATCACCATTTGCGCTCTTTTCATGCAGAAACTACATCTTAGTGAAGATTTTATCTAAATTAAGGCTGCCATTTAATTTTTTTTTTTTTTTTTATCACATCACCATATCCGCTCTTTTCATGCAGAAACTACATCTTAGTGAAGACGTTGCCGGCGCCACCTTCATGGCAGCTGGCAGCTCTGCGCCCGAGCTTTTTGCCTCAGTCATTGGTAGACACACACACACACACACACACACACACACACACACACGGTTGGTGTTACCAGCAATCCTGATAGGCTGCCTTCTTTTGTGCAGGTGTCTTCATCACCCACGGAGACGTGGGGGTAGGGACCATTGTTGGCTCGGCCGTCTTCAACATCCTTTGCATTATCGGAGTGTGCGGCATCTTCGCCGGACAGGTGTGTGCGTGCGTTCAAACCTGTGAGTTTCGGGGACCCAGTGCATCTGCGTCCTCACTGTTCACGGACAAATGCCCTCTTAAGATGGTTTTCTTGTGGAGGTTTGATTGAAAATAAAAACATCTCTGGTTGACTTGAAGAGAATGGAGCCAACGCTCAAGTGCTGGCATGAAATCTTGTATCTTCTGTGCACCTCGTAGGTGGTGATGCTGACTTGGTGGGCAGTTTTTCGAGATTCCTTCTATTATATCCTGTCTGTCATCGCTCTTATTGCAGTAAGTTGGACTCATTGATGAATGTCGTCGTTACATTCGACAACTTGTAATGTTTTTTTGTTTTTTTTCCCCACCTTACACGTTGCAGTTCATCTATGACGAGAAGATTGTGTGGTGAGTCAAATGACACAACCTCAATTTGCGCCTATTTATCGGGAATTGTCATGATTTTATGTGCAGGTATTGCTCATTTCAGCCTAAGCCATGCCCCGCCCCCAAAATGTTATGCCATTCAATGAGTAATTGTGGTTAAAGGTTAAAGGTTAGCATGGTGTTTCCAGCTTGATTATTGATTATGAATCGCTTATTTCAGGCAGACTCTTCAAAAGAAACTGCCTCAGCAGTCTGCGCTACCTCAAGTAGTGATGGGGCGGAGAAAAAAAAAGCTGATAAATATTCATTACTTGAGCTTCTTTTTTCTTTTTATAAAGTTCCTTTTTCTTTATCCCAATCTTATCTCCAAATCTGGGAGCGATTTGATAAGAAATGTTCTGCGCTTCTACTCCCCCTCTAAAAAAAAAAAAAAAACCTCAATCATTTAATTAGTTGCCACAGAGGCTGTAGTCCCTTTTTATCCATTAATTGCTGATTTCAGCCTCGGAACCCCGGTACAAAGTTCTCACCGAGTGCACTACTGCTGCCTCAAAACACCGCCGCGTGTCATGTACAATATAATTAGAATAGAACTAAACTTTATAGAAAAGGATATGTACCTACATGTATGAGAGTGGATTTTTGCTTGAGGTTACCGTAAGTGGTTGTAGCTCATGGCGATTCTAACCTATTTTTTTTATTTTTTTATCTTGTTTTAGGTGGGAGAGTTTAGTGCTGGTGGTTATGTATGCTGGATACATTCTGGTCATGAAGTAAGTGCTCAGTCAGTTTGCAGGCTCTCGGGCAACATTTAAACCTTTTGACTGCGATGTGCTACCAGTCAGTCGATATTCAGGATATTGCATTTAGCACTGTTGATCTTGAAAGCACGTCAACGTCGACGACCGCCGTGCGTTTTATGACGATCGGTCTCCATGTGGTGCCAACAGCGCTTATCAAAATGACCGATGAAAACGATCCTCATTTCGGGTTTTAAGCGATCAATCGCACCGACGATAAAACTAAAGTGCTGACACTCTGAGATCGTGATGGTGGTAAAAAAAGGGGAACATAGCGACATTACTTCAAGCTCCTGTAGGATATCATGGTCATGATAAGAATAAAAAAAAAATGTAATTGGACTTGTTTTTCCTTCATCACAGATATTGTCAGTTTGTCTTTCCAAAAGAATGCTATCATTATTGAATCAAGTATTTTTCCCCCCTCCTTAACCCATTCAGGGACAACAGAGGTCATCTCATCATGCAAAAAAATTTAATTCAATGTTAAAATATAGACTGAGGCGCGTGTGTGATCCGATGCAACAAGCCGCCGCCATGGCGTGTGCGTCTGTCTGGGTCCAGCTGGTAATCTGTGTTGCACTCTCAGCAGCGGAGGCAGCAGCCCGCTCGCTCTCGCTGCCACCACAGGCTTAATCTTCCGCTCCATGCGGCCCTAAAGAGCAGCGGCTTAACCGGATCATTCCTCTCTCCTTCTTCATTCTGTAGGCAAGACACAATTTACCGAGGGGATGCTGTCATGTGGCACCCCCCTCCTAAAATATCCACTGGTCATTTTAAGTTATTCCTTTCAAAATGGAGGTTGCATGGAGGTGTTTCCTCTCCACTCAGAACCGCCATTTTTTTTTTAAACAAAATGCACAGTAGAGGTCAAACCAGAGAAATCTGTTTTGAAGTGCAATTTTCCTAAATGAGCAGCTTTGTTTCCAACTCCAACACGACACGGCAATTAAAATAAACAAGCTTGTGCAACGTTGCGAAGGGTGGTTGTTACGACATAAATAATTCACACCGTTTGCACTTACTGTAATTTTTCAAAGAGGAAATTTGGCCAAGTTGCTGAAATCCTTTTAACCCCCCCCACCCACCCCCTGCTTGTTCAACACTGTGTAGGAGTTAACAGGGGCCACCGACTCTGTTCACAAGAGCCACTCGTGTTTTCTATTTGGTGTGCCGGGAAGGTTCCGTGACAAATGGCCCAAAAGATAGATTTTAAATCCAAGCTCCTTCCCTTCAAAGTCATCCCTGAAGTCTAATGCGCATTCGCAGCCTTCTCTGCCACGCTTTCACGTACTCCTGGAAGGATTCTTCGGCCAGTGGCGTCATCACTAGCCATCTTGATGTCATCCACTTCAAGATTGGTCCCCAAGTCAGCTACGTAGGAAGGTTGATCTCTGCAGGGAACCGCCGGATGCTCGGCATTGTCTGTCCCACACCGACAGAGAAAACTCCAAAGTTTGTCGTTGAAATACGATATCTTTTGTGGCACCAGTCCTGGAATATTTCTGACTCACCTTGTACGCTAGATCCTCAGACATTTAATTTTAATCGCCTGTTTCATCTTCATAAAGTGCAGCGCTTGGCAATGAAAGGGCTCGGGTTTTTGCAAAGTAACAGATCCGTCACAAGACCGCCACATCTGCCAAAGCTCATCAATTTTTACGCGTGGCACCTTGTGTGCAAGCGCACGCCTCGGTACCGTTTCTGAATGGCAGTTTGCCCCTTCACGCGGCGGTAAACGACTTGGTTCCTTTCTTTTATTTAGCAATGGGCATGACTCATCAATTTAATTTCCAAGGCGCATTGTGGGGAAACCGTATAGGGAGTGGCTTATGTTCGCAACACGTTCAAACGGCTTTTGCAGGAATACGTCGTGCGCTATATCGTGAATGGGGGACTGATTTCAAGCACGGCGTGAGTCTGAAGAACAGCAGCAAAGAATCGGAATGCCTTTTGAAAGGGGCGAAAAACAACAAAGAAGGCTCTGAAACCAAAGCCAAATGGAATCACGTTGCATTACAAACCGTTTGGAGGACATTGGGTTCTGTTGAGCCGGAAATGACCAGAAACAGAGCGGCTTTTGTGCTGTCTCGTGTTCTTAGCTTTGTCATTGTCATATGGATTGATACATTTATTGACATGTCATGCACCAAAGTGCCCTAACTCACATGGGATTATAAGAAAGTAATTGCACATCCTGAACATTTTATTCACGAGTATGGTTCTCAAATCATCATTCATGCTGCAATAAAATAAAAATGAATCATTTTTGATACCCCCCAGATTACACAATAGACATATTCTTGTCTCCTCTGATGTGGGTAAACTTTCATACATGGGGAGGTAAAAAAAAATGAGTCTTGTGGCCGAACCCTGTGAAGCCAATTTCAGGCTTTGTGTGCATTTGTAATGCACATTTTGTGCAAAGTAGGTCCTCTCATGCTACGGCTGTTAACAGAGTAAACGAGAGATTTTTTAGCTCCTGAATATATTTCAAAACAAGTCTTTGATCTCCGCTGACCGATCCTCTTGTGCGCCTCCCTCCCCAGATTCAACTCCAGCATGCAGGCTTTCTTCATGGGGAGCTCCAAGAAGAACGTGGCCAACGGCAACGCGGCCACCAGCAGTGAGATGGAGGACGGTAATGCGCCTTATTGTTGGGATGACGACCCGTCAGTGCCTTTGCTGGCCACAGGTAAGGTTAATCAGACAGGCGGCGAGGGACAACAGGAAGCGGCCTCGTCTTGGCCCCATGACATGTACATCATTGAGGAAATGTGACTTTCTTTGGCAAAACCTCCGCGGGAGGTCATGTGGCTTTTCATCTCGCCTCCTGTTCTGCTCAACTTGCTTTCACAATTGCTTCATCTGATTCGTTCTCTCTACTGGGCGAGACGCTTTAATTCTCTCTAAAGATTGGCAAACTTCCACTTGCTGTGATCCCAATGAACTGTATTACATTAACCGCTCTTAATATACTGCCTGTGAATGACCCGCGGCCCCTCATTTTTCTTCACTTCTGAAGCTTTTTATTCAATTAGATGCTAAGGCGTGCGTGAGAATGCTGTCTGAAGTCATATAGTGTGGAAAGAGAAAGGTAAGGCGGAGGCGCAATCAGCCGTGGGTACCGTTGCCGAAGCGGCTCGCCTCCCGGGTACACGTTGCGATGGCCGTTTTCGTCAGTGTCATCTGTGAATGGCGAGTACGCACCGTTGCTCCGTGAAGGTTAACTTCTTATTACGATTGAATGACAGTTAAGAATGCCAAAAGCAATACATGAAGTCCACTTGCAGTTAATGAGCATTCTCCACGCTAACGTCGCAAAGTCAAGTCGAGCTTCCTGTTGAAGTTTTTGTCATATTTTAGTGTCATGGGATTGCAACTTTCTTGAAAAAAAAAATACTTCAATAACATTTATCATTCTTTTGAGCCACTTGTCTTAGTTCTTCACTAATTTCTGTGATTACTGACTGGATCTAACCCGCCGCCTGTCTGTTTAGCCTTACTAAACTTGCTCCTGCTTGTTGTCAGCGATGCTGTGCCGCTCTGTTTGTGTTGCATCCTACTTTTCCGCTGCTGCTCTCTCGGCACGCTCCCGACTGAAGTGGTAATGAATTCAAGAAATGTTTACACACTTAATATATTCGCCTTCTTGCATGCATGAGTCCAAATTACACTAACGAGGGCAAAGTTGGGGAAAAAAAAGTAATCTTTTGGTTGGCAGAGGAGCCGTAATGTGCCAGGGAGTCATTCTTTGCTGTTTTTACACGATGTCAAATGTACCGTCTTCACCCCGCGACTCCAGTGAAGCCCACCAAGGCTTACAGCCGCGGCTCGGTGGTGATGGTGGACGAGATCATGAACGCCAGCCCGTCCAAGTTCCGCTTCCCCGAAGCGGGCCTGCGGATCATGGTCACCAGCCACTTTGGACCCAAGACCCGCTTGCGCATGGCGAGCCGCCTCATCATCACAGAGGTACACACGGGAGTTGTGGCAGACTGGCGTTGTCCCGTTTCTACGTGGACGCCGTGTGCCCGGGATTTAGTGTCTCTCTTCTGAAAGCGCCAGAAGTTGGTCCAGGCAGCCAATGGCATGGAGACGCAAGTGATTGACGGCAAGACGGACATCGAGAACGGCAACGTACCCGAGGACAAACCCACTGAGGAGGAGGAGGAAAGCGGCATCTCCCCGTTTGGTCTTCCCAGTACGTGGCCGATCGGGACGGTCGTGACATAATTGACCCCTTCGCTCTCGTGAGCGACTGAAAACACAGACGACCGAAATGCTTTGTGTTTTGCAGAGGGCTGTGGCAACAAAATCAAGTGGCTGATCTCATGGCCGCTGCTTCTGTTGTTGTTCTTCACCGTCCCAAATTGCGGGAAGCCACGCTGGGAAAGATGCTTCATGCTCTCCTTTATCCTCTCAACCGTCTGGATCGCAGTCTTCTCTTACCTGATGGTCTGGATGGTAAGTTTTTGGCACTCTGTGTATGTATTGTTGTTTTTGGTGTTATTTGACCGCACTGTCATACGATCAGGTGTCTCGAATGTTTTGATGACATGAAACCAAAATGAGCCTAGCGCAAATTGGTGTCAATCAAGATTCAGATCATCATTTTACTGCACAACCAGTCGGTGATAATGGATGACAATGACGGAACGTTAATGTCGAAAAATTATCCGTTAAGTCTAGAATGGCTTATTAAGAGTTCCTGCCCTCTTTGCAGGTGACCATCATTGGCTACACTTTGGGAATCCCCGACGTCATCATGGGGATCACCTTCCTGGCAGCAGGCACCAGCGTCCCCGACTGCATCGCCAGTCTTATCGTGGCTCGTCAAGGTCAACCCCCCCCCCCCCCCCCCCCCCCCCCAAACTCATTTCGCAACATCACCCATAAAAATAAATAGTTTAAGGACTGCTTCGGTTCCGGGCATGTGCACATGCATTTGCAGCAAAGACACTCAGTAACTTCCACTATAACAGCACAGGCTAAACTTAATCCCTCCCCAGCATACAAAAATGTTGAGATGCCCCCCCCCGCCCCACCCCAATCCCTCTGCGTCGAATTTAATAATACATCTCCACGCGGACTGTGTATAAAATGTCATGACCACGCCGATGTGCCGTAAATGCTTCCGGGAATTTGTACATTCGAGATACACTTGTCGTAGCGTTGCTCATATCTGTTCTCATGTCCACACTTGCGTGGTGTGTTTCAGGCTTGGGAGACATGGCCGTATCCAACACTATCGGGAGCAACGTTTTTGACATCCTCGTGGGCTTGGGCGTCCCCTGGGCGCTCCAAACCATGTGTGTTGACTACGGATCGGAGGTGCCGCTTGCTTGCCTGTTTCTTTCATTCACTCTGTTTTGCGCCACCGCGAGTGTTTGCTGGACTTACGCGATGGCACTAAAGTGAGACTGTTTCGTCTTTTGCAGGTGATGATCAACAGTCGAGGGCTTGTGTATTCGGTGGTGCTTCTGCTGGGATCTGTAGCCCTCACAGTGAGTGGTTTTTTTTTCCGCTTCTCGTTCTGTGGGCATTGAATTAATCGCAATTGAGTCAACGCCCTGGGAATGAAACTGACCTAGTCGTTTGTTTTGCACCGCAAACAGGTACTGGGCATTCACCTGAACAAGTGGCGTCTGGATCTGAAGCTGGGCCTATATGTTCTGGTCCTGTACGCCGTCTTCCTCTGCTTCTCGGTCATGATCGAATACAACGTCTTCACTTTTGTCAACTTGCCTATGTGCTTTGAGGATTAACATGCGGTGTAGCAGCAGCAGCCGGACACCAAAACAATCCTCACAGCCCCAAAGTCCCACCCTTCCCTTCAATAATACTGGACCTATGTGATTCCACCCCCCCACGTTGTCTGTGTAGTCCCAAGTGTGTCCATGCGGTGGCACACTTGAGTCATTTTGCATCGAATCTTCGCTCACACAGTGCCAGTCCTTGATACTCATTTCGAGGATTGCCTGTTCCTGCAGTACTGCTGTCCACCTGTCTATTTCGTCCATCCATTTAGCACGCCTTTAGCTGTCTGCGGTGGGGGACTCCAGAATTTAATTCTGCCCCCCCCCCCCACCTCCAACCCACCCATTGTCACCATGTCGTCACTCTTTCATGTTGACAGAATCCTCACAAGGTTTACTGAGAACTCCAGGACCCAAAGAGAAAAGCACACACTTTTTTTTTTTTTTTTTGCGCCCCTAAGACGAGGGTCTTGTCCTTGGCAGCTTCCCTCCTGCAGCTACCAACTTGACGCAAGGAACTACAAACTCTATCCCTCAGTGACCGCCTGCAAACTTTTCTCACCTCACTTGATTAAAAAAAAAAAAAAAAGAAACAACTTTTTCAGGACTGTTTGGGAAGCATCATGGCAAACCGAATTTTTGAGTTGAGACTGTACTGCACAACATCGAACTGTCCACAATTTATTTCTTTTTGTAATTCGTTTTTTTTTTTTTTTTGGTCAAGAATCCCTCCATCTTTTTGTGAAAGACAGAGGGAGAGCATGTTGCAACCCACTCGAAACAACTTTTTACGCAGATGACTTCTTGTGCTGGATGGAGATTTGAACACCCTCAGCGCTCACTCAAATCAACCATCTTCAGATCAGTGGGATGGATTTTGATTTGATTTTTGCCATCAACTTTTGAGACAAAGGAACTAGACGGCTATCTCGATGCTGACTGTCTGCTAGACCACCCCCCCCCCCCCTGGCCAGTAAGCGGGGGGGGGGGCCAACCACAGCCACCAGTGATCAGGGACAGCTCTTTGGTGGGGGGGCTATCGTGTTGATATGAGTTGTATGTAGATACTGCACTTTAAGAGCCATCCTCTCATTCTGAATCAACTAGTGCTTCCTTTGGTGCGCGTGTGTGTGAGATACGAATGTGTGTGTGTGTGTGTGTGTGTGTGTGTGTGTGTGTGTGTGTGTGTGTGTGTGTGTGTGTGTGAGACTACGATGAGCACACCCGCCTCTTGTCCGCAGTGCATGCTGGGATGTTAAATGCAGTGTTCCCCTTCCTCCCTCAAGCACAGCGCAAAGGCTGCTTGTGTCCATCAGGCATCTCCATGGCAACCGCCTGGTCCAGTTTTACAAAGAGTAAAAAAAAAAAAGAATTAAAAAATCGGCAGCTACCGTGCAATTTGTTGCAAAATTGCAAGTGATGAGCCGAGCTACGGAAAATTATGACAAAAACTGGTGGGTAGGGGGTGATATTCCTGTGCCACATATGTCGGCCGGCACTTGTATATGCAATCTCAATGTCATGACTTGTGTGCGCGTGCGTGACACGAGGCCCCTGCCAGGTCGCCATGATGATGTTGTTCGTTTAGTACTCGATGTGTGAGCTCACAGGTGTGCTTTGTCATTTGTAAAATTTTTTTTTTACATTTTTTTTTGTGATTGCTGTCGAACTGAGCCAAAGGATGGACACTATGGTCCCCTTTTCCACAAAGGGCCAAAACGAGCGACGCGATGGATCGGTAATGTTTTGTCTGGACTTTTGTCACTTTTTGAGGACCTGGATTAGAGCACTTGGGAGAGTTGGAACGCCGCCTCCTTGAAGATGCTCGTCCATTTCTATGCTTGATGGAGGTGACCACACAGGGCCCAATCTGTAGATACACCTTATTGTACTCGTTTGGAGTCCAAATGTGCAATTAGTTTTTCTTTTGTTCTTTAGGCTGCTCTGTGTGGTCCTATCTTGGTTGCCGGGTTGGAATTTTGTCCTCCTTAACTTGTTGTTGAGCTTGCGTTTGTCAGCAAGTCTTTTTCTTTGTTTTTTTTTTTTTTTCTGGAGGAAGAAGAAGATGGGAGGGGGCGGGGAGAATTATTTGATGCAGAGTGGATGTCAGTCCAAATGTACAAAACTATCACGCACACGCTGTGGAAAGGTGATGAAAACACGAGAGGACTCGTGTGTATTTCGTTCATTGAATGCGACCTGATGCACTGTGAGCTCAATGTGATGTGGGAGTTGTCAACAATAACTGATGAACAAAAAAAAAAAGTCTAATGTAAAGTTAGTTACTATTAAAAAAAAAAAAACTAAAAAATATACCGTATAACTTATATGAATGTATTGTCTTGCTATACTGGACATATCCAACCAATGCATTTTACTGTAAAGCAATAATGTGAAGAAAAAAAATAAAATGGCAAAATCATTCCTGTACGTTTGTCTCCGAACTTCTTGCGTCATTGGTGAAATTCAAGTCATTGAATACTTGGATATAAAAAAGTTTTATTTTATGCCAGGCCTGATGTGTGTGAGTGTGCAAAGTTTTGTCCGACAAAAAGAGCTTTTCTTTGCGAACAGCATATTGCCAAGGAAACCAAAATAAAAAGCTTTCAATAGGTATTCATCTCAAACATCTTCAGATGAAACAGCCAAGATGACTAAATTGTCCCCACGGACATTGTTTAAAATATGACTTGTATAAAGCAAGACCAAAACATTTTTGCTTTTGTTGCGTACAATGGGAAGAACAGAAATGGATGTTTAATTTGAATCTTTAAAAGTACCCCAGTAAGAATAAGTGATACAAAGAATGGATGGGTTAATTCCTACTATGACGAGTTGACTTTATTTTTTTTAGGGGGGGGTGGTGGTGACAATCCGTTATATAAAATCTAACTTCCCAGCTATCGTGGCGCATTCGCCATCTCCACTAGGGGGCAATATTGACTCACAAGTCAAGCTTTCTTTTCCCGCAAAGCCATGACTGAAACCGCATCTTTTTTAACGGGATGAGGTGTTTGGGGGTCAGGTTTTTATTTTTATTTATTTATTTAGTTTTGATGATAGTTGTTTGTATGCTTTGAGAGGCAGCCATCTGATGAATGGGGTCAGCATGGATACCGTGCAGGGTGCATCCGCCTAATGAGCATGGGGTTTTGTGCGCCCAAGAGCTCCCTAACAAGCAAGCACCCGGCACCTCTCCAGTGAGCGAGCCGGTACACACACACACGCACACTCTCTGACCTTCATGTATACGACACTATCATCCCACTTGGAAAACTTGTAAGTCTCTCCCCTTGACATTTTCGTTGCTTTTTGCAAGACTGCGCCTCTTGGTATTTCTTTGCTGCTCGAATGCGTGGCAGAACTGAACAGTGATGGATGTTGAGCAAACTGGTGGTTCCGCTTCGTTGCTGTTCCCGTTCCATCGAGGAAAAATGCCAGAGTCAGTACTTCTTTTATTTATTTAGTTAGTTTGCTTGGGTAACTGAGTTAACGCATTAATTGTTTCTGTAAAAAGCTTTCTAATCGGCATCACTGATGGAGGGATAACCTATCCTGCACAACACATTCAAACAGCTCAACAAAATGGCCAACTCACCAGTTAAGGCACCATATTGCGGACAGCGATTGATTTGGAACACAGCCTTTTGCTGTGCTTCTACTGCAGGAGTAATTCTTCCACAATCACAAATACACTTTTCTGCTTCTGTGGAGGTGCAGCGGCACATTTAGATTCCAATCGAAACTCCGGGTCAGAGTCCGCGTTCCTGCTGGCTTACCTTTAGCTCAACAAGCACATTCAAGTCACAAAGTTTCTTCTGCGATTGGAAGCGGCCCCCTTTGAACTCAATCACGCTGGCCCGCCGCCGCCTTCACAGGGGGACGTGGTCGTGCATCGCTATCTATGCACGGCACAGCGCGCTTCATCTTCATCGGCGCCTTACCCTTGCATGTATATCCTCACCTTGTTCTCCATCTGCCGGCGAGATCTCGCCTCGTCTTTCGGGTTGTGGCTTGATTGTCTGCAATAGTTTTTCCATCCAATTGTCGCTGTACATGAAGGACATGCTGTACCGTGTCTCAATAGGAGGCGCTCAGCTATTGTCATAACCGGCGCCCGATGTAGTCAGATAATGATGTATTTGTCACGGTGAATCAGTATGTAGCCCATTATGGATGGTTGCGCGTGCTTTGTTCTCAGTAACTGTAAACAATATATGTTTTCTATCAGGAAGCGTCTCTTGTTTCCACCAAGTGTGAGAGCGGCTGCCAAGTTAGTCAGAAGTTCTTATCGTCATACATTCTCAGTGTACAAGCTGTCCTCTTTTGTTTTGCGAGCAATAGTCTGGCCAACTTTTCTCCGAGTCTCACATCCTCTTTAATCCTGTTTTTTATGCCACCAGAAAGTGACGCCTCTAGGTTTGCTTTGATATCGACATCTTTGGGCATCATTAGTGATGTACTTTGTGAGATGACAAGAAAAATAGCAGGAAAAGAAATATTTCGGAAGAAACCAAACCAGACCTCATGCAGTACTTTTCCGTCATAAATGTTGTCACCATTTGGAGCTGTGTTTCATTTTGTTTCAGAACAATACATTTATTTTCCTTCACTTTCGGTCAAAGGCCCCCCGGGGAACTGCTTGGCCGCCTTACAATGAAGTTGCCAATTTTTGTCTGCGCACCACCTGCTTCTCGACAAAGGCACTTTCACCACAGTTTGATTCAGTGGGAATGAGGAGTTGGGAGCTGAGTGCTCAGGGAGATGATCACGTTGATGGCGGTGAGACCATTTTAGCTTGCTAAAGTTGGGTACATGCAGACTGATATTTGGGCCATTTGAACATAAAATGATGTGCCGGGCCAGATATGGCCCCCGGGCCTTGCGTTTGACATGTGTCTTATGTGGTCCAACTTTTCATTCAATTTGTCGGGATTGTTGTCCCCCCCCCAGATTTGCCAATGATAGCCGTTCAAAGATGCACAAAATTTATTATCGGTCTCTCAAGCGTTTAACATGAGTATCGGAAACAACCTAGCAGCTGTTTTATGAGTGAGCGAGGATGATTTGCATATAGATGAGTGTTCTGAGCAGGTTGGACCGACGCGCCGCTCGCGAGGCGACCGGCGCGTGATGACGCGGGAGATGTTTACCTGCAAGTGGGCCCACTGAAGCAAGTAAGTGAACAAAGTCAGCATTCGTTAGCGCGCGTCCTGTACAAAGCGTCTCCGTTTATTTGACTGACTTTGATTTCATGTTGCAGAGTCTCGTCGCCTGTGAAGATGCTGGATCCATGCAAGGTGAAAATTCTTTTTACCAACAGAATATGCATACCGTTGCCTCTGATTTATGGATGACTCGCTTCCAGGCCCTCTCGAAAGCTGATATGTTGCGTCGATGTAAATGCATTATTTATTTAAGGCGTTCATTTGCTTTCCCACCTTTAACAATAACTTTTTGCACCGGCAAGATTGATTAAAACAATCGTGGCATCACACGTAAGCCCGACAATAAAATCCGATTACATCCGGCGCTACAGATCACCATCTCACAGCCACGAGCATCAATAGTCGGTCTCAAATCTCCCAAAAGAGACTTTCTTAATTAAAGTCGGGCTCCGGTTCTTAATTGCCTTTGAACAGATTCGATGCCAACAGATTTAACAGCAGACGGGCAAACCGCGACATAAACTGACGCTGTGAATTAAAAGATAATAGCAACACAATTACAGTTGTTGCAGAGTCAAGACCTCACTTGGGTGTGTAATTAAATACCTGGACAGAGCTAGATTAACCGCTACGACAGCTCACAAAGGTGCTTCAAATCAAGTCCGAAAACAAAATGAAGATTTTAAAGGGGAAGTCAAGTCAACTTTTTTTTTTTTCTCTTGACATTCTGTACCTCCGCTAGTCTAAACGCGGCATTCTTATTCATTTGACATTTGTGGAATATTTGTTTCCATGTCAGGGGCGGCCATTTTGCCACTTCCTGTCAAATGAAATGACATCACAGTGACTGAAATTGACCAAAATCAGAAAACAGTTGAGTTTTCCGAGCCCTGTGATGTCATTTTCGGAAAGAATATTTTGACTTAGTATTCCATCCATTTATTTTTTTTGTTATCTAAAACAAGTGCAGTTCATAAAGATGAAAAGACCGCAACAGATTCACCTAGAACACGCAACGACAACGGACTGAGAGATGATCACAGAGCGAATGTGAACACTGCAGCAATAAATCATCGACTGACAGCGCACGAGACAAAAAAAAAAAAAAAAAAAAAAACACCCCCCCCCCCACTCCTCGGTCAGAAAGCAAACAGGGCCGTGTTGTGAATCGTTGCGTTCTGGCCCAAAATACAAGTTGACATTTTCCTCCAAATGAGGAAGAGGGAGCATTACACGAAGCCTCAGACATCTGCGAGCAATTACGTGACACTGAGCGATGCCCTACGTTTTTTTTTTGCCGCCGGTCTTCTACTGTTGCTTGCTTGGCAAGTTTCTACACGAGGGTTTCTAAAGCCGCTTTGTCTGTTTGGCAGCCAGACTGAGCGATGCCCTACGTTTTTTTTTTGTTTTTTTTTGCCGCCGGTCTTCGACTGTTGCTTGCTTGGCAAGTTTCTACACGAGGGTTTCTAAAGCCGCTTTGTCTGTTTGGCAGCCATCGATTTTTTATGGTTGCCACTTAAATGTCTGCTGGGCCAGATTTTTTGCGGGCATGGCGCGAATATAAAGAAGATAAAATCTTTCATGCCGTGCTGGGAAATCCGAGGTGATGTGTTAAAAAGCGCTCTTTAATTATTTTTGCATCAGTTAGCGACTTAGGGAGGGAATTTAGTAGAAAATGTAATTAAAGCTACCGGGAAGATGTTTTCGTGAAGAGTTTGGCACAACTTGGCAGCATATTTATGGACAATTTCGAGCCTGAGTCAAATGTGGTGCCAGCAGGACCCCCAAAGTAGCGCGTGAGCTTGTTCTAAAAATAGTTGACCAGTGGGACATTGTGATTTTCTAGGAATGTTATCGTAAAAGTCATCATTTTAAAATGTGAAGACTGGCAGAGAGTTTGAAACTTTTGCATATTGATAAAATGGGTAAATGATGCAATTCACTCAATGCCAGGCGTGTCGATGCCTACTAAGTGAGGAAGTGTTCCATTAACTTGCCATGCATTTATTTTGGGAATGTGGGAGGAAACCGGAATACCCACAGAAAACCCACGTCGGCACGTGGAGAACGTGCAAACTCCACACAGGAAGGCCGCAGCCGGGATCGAACTCTGCACATCTGCACTGCGAGGCGGACGTGCTAACCAGTCATTCACCATCATAGTACAGTACGTCATTGCATTAATTTGTGTACGAAATCCAACTGCCAGACTCCAGATTCAATTCCTCTTCACCAACAATATGAAAACCAGGAACAATATTGTCGGCAATGTTCTTTTATTCAAACATCATTGGCCTCCCGCTCGTAAATAATATACAGGATAATCATAACAACAACAATATTAAGAACAAAACAAATCATAATGAACGAAATAAAAGTCTGTTCAGCTTGTTTAAGTTGCTTTTTTTTTTTTTTGTCACTCTGATAATTTATTCTTTCATTTCAAGGTTTGAGACGTTTAGAGGAATGTACAGTTGAGAAATAAAATCACCCCCTCCCTTTTTTCCTTTTTTTTTTTTTTTTTACCTGACATCAACAAATAGATTAATCCCATTTGCACTTCACACACCAACAGACACACTTGTATTACAAAATGATCCGTCATAAACAAATCCCCCGGTGGTAAACAAGCACACCTTTGCGCACAAACGCACTCGGAGGCGTACGTTATATCGAATAGTGCGCATGCTCTTTCGCGCTCACGGGGCGATGCACACTGTGTGTTTGTGTGCGCAGTCGACGGTCCAGTGCCGCTGGAGTGCTTGTTTTACTCCGACCCATAGTTCCAAAGCATCAAACCGCCCGAGGCGTCGGCTTCTACAAGTTACACAACACAAGCGCACGTGGCCGAAGCGCAGGCCGCCTGCTCGCCGTGGCCATTTGTCACCATCTGCTCCTCTTTTGCCCCGATTGGAGGCAAACGGGGGGAAGCTACGTTCCCTCGTTTGGTGCTGGTACTGGTGACCTTTTAAAAAAAGAAAAAAAAAAGAAAAAAAAAGACACTTACAGAGAGAGGACCAATTTTTACACGACATAAATTTCCCCGGCTGCTGGGTTTGGAGTCTCTCAGCACAGTCTGAACTTTTAAACACAATACAGTAGTACCCTGGCTTCGGAGGATCATTTCTTCCAAGACGCGAAGCCTGTAAATAAATTTTTCGTTCTTGACGAACTGGAAAAACTCACTCGAAAACCAAGGTACCGTGTTGTTGTCCGATTTCACGTGGAAATTCCATGACGCCGTTTGGTGCGCATTCCAGCGGCGAGATGCTGGCGGTCATGTGTCAATGACGTCCTGCGCCGGCGTGGGTTCGTGCGGCAAAGCGGTGGCGTTGGGGAGCGTCTGCGTGTGGCCCACCGAGTTCTGCTGCAGTTCCATGGCCATGGCGTTCTGCGGATGCGGGAACTCCTTGACCTGCCTGCGGTACTCCAGGAAGGTGGACGCCTTGGTGGCGATGGCCACCACGTTCTTGCCCACAAAGATGGTGGACACGCGGCTGTCCTGAAACAGCACCATGTTGACGCCTCGGATCAGGATGGTGACCACGTTGATGGTGACCAGGCTTAGGACCGGGTAGAGCATCATCTTCTGGGGGGTCATGTGCTCGCCCTGCATGCTGATCTCGCTGAGCGACACGCAGGGCAGGATGAGGAGCAAAATGTAGCAGTAGAAGAACATCAAGCCCTCGGCCCAGATGGGGAGGCCCGTGCGTTGGGGCTCCCACAGATTCGCTTGGATGTCCAGAAGATCCAGTAAGTCCAGCGCCACCCAGAACAAACGGCTTCGCATGTCCTCCTTCTTGCGGAAAGTCCTGACGTATTCCATGCTGTCCAGCGCCACCAGAACCAAGTACAAACCCGGCACGCACACCGACAAAAGTAACGTCAACGCTTTCCGCGCCACCGTCTCCAGACTCTTCCTGTCGGCCTTGCAATTCTGGAAGACAAAGTAGAGCTTGATCTCCAGCACGAAGATGTACAGGAACCAGAGGATCATGGCGTAACCAC